GTGATTTTACCGAGAAAAGATAGGCCTATGCTTATGATATCCAAATTGTATAGAAGCATATAACTAACGTTCATAATCTCTACTTTTCGTCTCTTCAAAACACGAAAGTCGAAAAGTAGAAATTACGACAAAACGTGAGGCGACAGCATGCTATACAGCCAAAATGAACTCAAAAATAGGAAATTAAGAACTAATACACTGCGATGATAGCTCCCCTCGTTTTTTCCTAATTTCTTATTTTCGACTTGCGCTTTGGCTTGTGTACCCTCTTGTCGACTTTCGTCTTAAATCATATTTTTGTCTTTATTGATTTCAGTAAAAAGGCGCCAACACGCATACAAAGCCATTATGCAACTCGAAAAGTAGAATTTAGCAAATAAACACAACGCGCTATAAGCGACATATCATTTTGGCTTGCTGTCGAACTGTCGACTTTCGCCTCGGAAGTTGTTGTAGTCTCAATTTACCAGGTCACATTAGGATACATACAATTCGCGTCAACAAAATAGTCTGTATGATAAAGTCTAGTATTGATGGCGATATTAGCGACCTATGATTTTGGCTTGCTGTCGTACTGTCGCCTTTTCGCCTCGGAAGTTGATGTAGTCTCTACTTTCAAGGTCACTTTTCGACTTTCGTGTTTTGAAGGGGCGAAAAGTAGAAATTATGAATGATAGTTATAGGCTTCCAAAAAATTGTAAGACAAAATAAACATTTTACCATTGGTTCACGAATGCCTTTCAGTGCCATTTGTAACAAGGTACTCGAAGGACGAGGCTAGGCATATTCCACAAGTCATTCAAACGGTTACGTCATACGTCATATTCCTATCTGGAGAGCATGCGCAATAAATACTAAATCAGTTTATGTACATTCATATTACATTATCAATTTGTGTTGCGAACCATTTGTGTCAATTTCTAGGTCCTAAATATTAGCGATTTAGCTCCTTTAAATAACAAATACGTGTACATGTAGATTGTTTTGGGGTGACCTTTTCCCTGTATGTAAATAATCAGTAAATGTTCATATTTTTGCACCAACATAGATAATTTTGGATGAAATTTTCTTTTAATGATCATTGATAAGTTCGTAAATAGTACTGTACGATGGCTCAATAGGCCATTAATATTTCGATATTGAACCCTTTCTATAGAAATAAATATTGGCAAAAGTTATACAATTGTAATGTGCTCAACAACCCTTGTTTTATGAATATTAATCTCCACAGGAAAAAGTTCCAAAATCATTTAATTGGTTAACATCAAATTGGTCAATGTCAAATATGAGTAAAATAATGTAAGATATTTTATACCCTGGCTTAGACAAGCTGCTGTAGATATTACATCTAATTAATAAGCTTATTATTACATTATGTAATATTTGAATCAAATTTTTTTTATTATATTAAACTGTTATTAAATTTGTTTATTTCTATGTTTAATTTGATTAGTTTTTCTTATTCTCTTATTCAAATCTCATAGAATCTGATTCCAAACCCTTCTAGCTTTAGTTTTACATTCTAAATATAGAGCAGTGTAATATGACACTCATACAATACACCATCTGAATAGATAATAATGGGCGACAATTTATTGTCTTTGAGGGGTTGATGACAAGATTCTCTTCAACAAATCTTTGAGGTCACATTCCCAAACTTGAAGAAATATGGCTGATTTCTAGTTGGTCTTAAGACTGTATTAGACATATCACAGTAACAAGATGCACAAGAATAGAAATATCAGTGGCAACGTGGTTATTAAATAATTTGGAGGCATCCATTATTATTAATTTGATATATGGCGAGTGACGTATTTGGAAACAAGATCATATTTAAAATATGTGAAAGTGTAATCTCAAACTAGCATTATAATCGATATTCTATCTCAAAATGTTTTTCGATAAGTTTATGATTATTATTAACATACATGCATACGGATACATCGTTCATATGTTATGGATAACCCTTGTCTCTTACAAGGCGTGCACGACAACAATATCCATATTTATGTGAATTAATCAAATATATACTGTTCTTCGTGGTATGTTTTATTTTTTTAATTTGGCGATTTAATGTCATATATTAATGTCAAAATTCAATTGATCATGACAAAATTCCCAGTACACTGTATAGATCGATTCAGTTTAGACACAGAGTCGTTGTTGATGATGGCGAGGAAGGGCTTCAGAATAACGAAATAAAATATATCCAGCAAGACTTAGTACTTGGTTGTTTTTAATATTCCAGGAAAGATAGTTACGTCGAACATTGAAATAGCAATGATATACTCCATTGATGTAATTTATAGTACAGTCTGATAGATTCGAATACTATTTATTTGCGTGTCAATATCATTAACAATACCTGTATGTTCCATGAACTAATTAAAAACAGTTGTCAGAGTCCAGATTAAAAAGAAAATAACCTGACAAATAAAGTCTAGACTTCGATGAAATATCTCTGCTAGACGACATGGAATGCATTTATCTTCTCGAGATGTGTGAAGGAAAACTGGAACTCATTTCCCAGTCCCTAGACATAAATAAAAACCATATGGAAAAAGTCCATAGTATAGTAGACTAGAGAAATTCCTTTCAAGGTGATTTACCTTCAACTCATACAATACACGTACTACGGAAAGTATTATGTTGTACTAGACTATTGGAATATAATATACTAGGTTTTAAATGATCAGAACGCTAGGTGTCATAATTGAATGGCTGAAGGATTTGCGATAATATTGAAGTGCCTTTATGGAATCTGAGCTTTTTAAATTTTAATGTTCCGGATGCCAATGACGTCATCCTGGTTAACCACAAAAATGATAGGTGACGAAATTCAGTATATACTTTGATTTTAAATAACCGAAACACTACATGTACGTCATACAAAATTACACTACATTAAAATTAATAATACCTTATATGTATATAATGGCAATATAGCCCAAGTTGTAAGGTATTGTTGAAAGATTGTGTAATAATAATCTGTATCACAACAATCCAGTTCATCATAATTATGTGTTTCTGGTAGTCGGTAACCTTAGACATTATGGACGGACGATATGATGCAATTTGAGTCAGCTAATCAGTCTATCATTCACACGGTTGGTTTGTTAATTAACAATGGATATATATATATATATATATATATATATATATATATATTTGATTCGTGTGTAATGATGGCGATCATTATAAGCGTTGACAGTTCAATCATATCAAATAAATATAATTGAATATACAGTAATATAAAAATAAAATAATGTTCAATAAAAATCATAAAATAATGTTCAATAAAAATCATAAAATAATGTTCAATAAAAATCATAAAATAACATTGAGGAAACCTTCAACTTTGAACTTTTAATAAACCTATGACATCCATGTGAAAAAACATATGTAAACCGCTATATATAAGTAACGCTATATGCTAAGAACTAAACACATGGCGTGGTCTGTGTTTTTCTAGCCGTCTTCCAATGCACTTCGCGTGTTATGTTTTAGCCGCGAGCCGACCAAAATCACGTTTACCTTAGTTCCGTTAACGAGCTATTACTTACTTTACACTATAGACATAATATATTTGGTTATTTATTTGACTTACCTCTCGTATATATCCGAATACAATTCCATTTCTCAAGTCAATATTATCAACACTGATAGCCAAAAGGTTTTTGTGATGAGAGCGATACACTTAAAGCTTATGAATTATGTTATGCATGGTAGCGCGAACTAGATTTTGGCAGATAAGTTGAGCTATATATCTCTGTATGTAGTATATAAACTTCGATGCCCCGAAGTCTCAGGTATGTCGAGTTTAGAAACGATCGACTTATTCAAGCAAGCATAGAGGGCGGGCATTGGTCTAAATTTATACGATCACGGTATATGTTATAAACCGCTACAATAAGATACTAAAGACATTATATAAAAATGTACAGATAGTGCAAAAAAGATGACAAAAACTCGACTCATTGTGTAAAATGATATAACGCGAGTTATGTCACCCTTAAAACTACATTTCCAATTAGCTCAACCAATGTGGCAATTTACAAAGAAAAAAAAGCCCGAACAACATTTATCGCAGGAAACAATTACATTTTTGCTAAAATGCTTCTGGGTGGTTTACTGCCACAGAAATTCAATTTAACACAATTTACGAAGTCATAACTTGAATCACCCAATTCGTTTTACAGTTCGTGATATGGACGAGTTATGCTGAATTGGTAATAGTATTTCTTGATTATAGTTCTTATTGAAGCATTAAAACAATAAACATACGTGTAAAAACTAAGATTTATGCCTTTAATGACAAACCTGGCCCCCATATTTCAACACGTGTGTATATACTTATCATCTTTAAATATATATTTACTGTCAAGGTGAGCTCTCATATAACTATTGTTCAACAATGTCTAATATATATTTTCTAACATGAACGCAGTGACGTGGAGATTATATAAAGATAACGAGCAACCATATACATTTTCTTCGAAGCTATTTGAATAATATTGTACCCCCAAGCAAACACTTTTCCTTCTGTATGCTATACTTTTAAGAATACATTTTTATTTGAACTGTTTATGAGTATACTAATCAGTTTCTGCTCGGGGATGTGAATTTAGAAGATCGTAAATAAACTATGGTCTTAAATACAAGAAATCCATTGTTTTCTTTTTATTTAGAAAAAAAGGGTTAATCTTTTCCATGTTATTATTGTTTCTACAGAGGAGGTTAAATAAGAGCAGAAAAGACAGGGGAACATTTTACTTAGAATAATGTTCATAACATTTTGAGTAACGGTAACCATGACAGCAAGATAAACTATTTTCAAAATAAACAATACGGCATTGTTTAAATGTTCAATATAAACAAGGAATAATAATTTATTCTTACACAAAATAAACAGATTCCTTTAAAATTGTGATCTTTATATTCAAAATTCAAGAAAGCACCGATGTAACACTTCGCCTTTTGAAGTCAGTCTAATCGAGCGGAACATCGTTAGGTAAATACTGGTATATAGAAGTAAATATAAGTCTTCAAGCAGAGCCATTATTTTATAAACGGCGAGTCTATAATAACACTATGAGTGTATCTGACAGGGCATGAAACACATCTGTTGATTATGCAAGACATGCTGAGAGAAAGAACAATATCCTAAAGTAACGGATTTACGTCTGATGCAATACTTCACCTGAATCTGACACTGGTCAATTCTCTGGGACATATTATGTAAGTTATTTTACGTGAATGATCCTGCAAATTTGTGCTATGTGCCAGGAATCTGTGTTAAAGCTAGTTATTCGTCTGTTGCTTGTTGATGCTAAATCTTTGAATCAATGCAAGCGGCAATACATCATTGTCAGAATGATGTATGTTTTGATGGATTCACCAAATAAGGAAAATGTTTTATACCAAATGTTTTAGATTATAGCATGCATCGTTGGTCTTAGTTCGTGAACGTAATTTTAAAACTGGTTAAAATAGGCTGGAATGCAATGCAATACTAGATACAATACAATACAATACAATTATTTGACCAGGAAGAAGAAGAGTGTATACCCAAATTAAGAAATTAACACATTGCATTGGAGGTTTATCAGGATGATTATATTATCTATATAATAAATCACACAATTCCACCCACAGGCAATGTATGCTTTTTGCAGACGTGATAAAAATAACAAAATTAGAAATCTTCACACTAACGCACAAGGAAGGAATGACAAAACAGCAAAGTGTGAAAAACTTCTCTGCCAATCCAAATGCGTCTATTTTAACAGTTTCAGGCAGTAATTTGCGGTTTTTTTCCCGTTGCCTTGGAGTTTTATGTGAATCTGATATGATTTAGTGATATCTGATATATGATTGTTAATTAAAGAGTCACATTTATAGTTGTATATAGACATGTAATTATTGGAGGTCTGCGAACATTCACATTAAATGACAAAAAGAGAAATTTACTGGAATCAAGATGATGTAAGAAGCAAAAACTATTAAAGAAATATCTTTTTTTTCTAAACATACTAAATGACTGCTCTGGATTTTTTGCTTTCAAGTAGACTCAAAGACCAAATTCATTCCCAGCAGTGCACTGGAAACCGATCTTTTTCGACGTAGTAGACCAATAGAGCCCCCCCCCCCCCTACAGCACAAATTTGCTCACCTCAAAATGTTTGGTACTATTGGTTTAATATACAATTTAAAAATGTTTATTTGTCTATTGATTTGCGTTCTTCTCCTCAGCTTTAAGATTAGAACGTGCAAAACCTGACGATTACATTCTTTCTGACTGGGTATTTACCGGACTATTATGTTTGAAGTATATTTAGAATAATTATATTCTTTGATATAAACAATAATTATTAGTTTTCCCTTTTTCAACGATTTAAATTTGATACGAGACAAACTTTATTACGACACGACAGAACTATATACCCCATTATCTGCCATTGAATAACCCACTATTTTGCAGTCTTGTGCAAACTGTCTTGCCCCTTTCTCTATATAAATTGGATGAAATGAAGACGAGACTTAACTGTAGTTGTCAATTAGATACAGAAAAAAATCCAGTTGGTTAGCATATGCATTTGTTTCTTCTTGAAAACAGGCAGACTAAGATTATTTTTTTACAAAACATTTTAATATAATTGTTCTTTTTCCCACCTATAATGAAACAGAGAGATTATGACTGAAGTTAGTTGTCGCAATTTTGGCATGCTTAAACATTGGCAAGAAGTAGAATTCTCCCGGGACCAAAATCTTGACCCCTTTGCCGTCCAAGTCGCCATTTCCAATATATTGCAAATGAAAGTGATTGACAGAGAGCGGAAGACATTTATGCCAAGATGCAATCATCTTGAAATTGACTTGGGAAATAAGACAAGGTTCTGATAATGATGCATTCCGTGACAGTTTCATCCCTGCTTTTCCATCGAGAAATCATTAACTTGAGCGGTATATTGAGAATGCGAGATCTATCGAAAAGCTAAACGATTTGGCTATAACCTACTATGTTCTAGTGTTAACGGAATCCCCTGCTATTTATTTGATTTACTCTAGAAATTAATTTTTAAATTAGTTTATATGGTTAACAACCCAAAGACTCGGGTCTTTTTCTACATCTGAATCGTTAAGTAGAATAATGGCAGAAATCGATTGTGTTTGAATTTGGAGACTGTGGTTTCGAATCTTGAGAAGATTATCACCAATTCACGTTGATTTCCCGTCTAGGTTATCAACTGCGCCAGTTAATTTTAAGTGCAAGCTAAAATGCTTGTTAAGACCAATGTTCTATAGAATAATACCCCCGTCGTTGATATAAGTGTACATTTTAGAGCGAGTTAGTTGTTTAATAATATGAATAGAACAATTGAATCTAATACAGCAGTGATGAAAAGTGAAACGAATTAGCATACTCGGGCTCGTACACAACACCGACCACAACATCTAGCTTTCGTTTGAATTTCAGAAACCGAATCAACTTGGGAGAAGATAGCAGAATCCATTCCCAGGCTGTTTAAAGGAGCTAAATCGCCAATATTTTGGACCTAGAATTGGCACAAATGGGTCGCAACACATATAATAATGTAATATGAATTTATATAAACTGTTTTACATTCAATCGTGTCCGTTTTACTGTGAAATGTCATCAGTTATGTTCGGCGAAATACGTCAGAAGTCTCAACCGCAAGTCAGTTTCTAGCGTCTGGTTATTCCAGTCAACACCGATATTATTTATTGCGCATGCTCTCCAAATAAGAACATGATATCACCGTGTTACAAAATAATGGCGCTGAGACGCATTATGGTACACGATTCGTGTACCAATGGTAAAATGTTTATTTTGTCTTAAATATTGGATATCAAAAGCCCATCTTTTCCAGGTAAGACCACAACACCAATGCTGATTTAAATTGCAAAAAAAAAAATCATGTTTTCAATGTCGAAGATTTTGGAAGATATTGAGTTACGGACTTACCTACTTTAACATTGACAGGTTAGTTACGTGTTAACATTTCGAGTGCATGGTTATTTGTTGAAAACATAAGCATACTTAGCTGTACATGTAGGTTATTAAACATGGATTCATTAGTTCAGTTAGTTCTTTCTAATCTGACCCCACAAACCCCACGGGGAAAAATAGTAGACAACCCGACCGACCGTCTCTATTTATTTTTGGCCTACTGACCGTTAGCATACAAGTATTCTTTCTGGCCTTCTCAGCAGTTGGAGTGACATACAGACTATTGCTCATGACACATTCAGAATCTAAAGACTTACGTTTATTTGAAATATTGACGTCATTTGTTCCCCATCTGCTAACAAGGTCTGCAAGGTGCAACATCGGGTACCACACATAGACCAGTAAATAACTTCTACAATAGGAGAATTATTCAATTTATGACCAGCAGGTTTTGGGGATACGGCACAATGGGAGTGTTTCGAGATTATTTTTGACGTCGATACAGTTATTAATCACAAACCCTCAATTTTAGTCATTTCAGGAATATATTTGATTGACAAGCCTATTGGAAAAGATATATTTTATCAGGAAGGTTACAAGAAGGTTATTTCATATCTTCAGCACTGCTCTTATATGATATTTTCTGTTTATTCAAATAAACTTGTATAAATTCAGAACGCGGTTGTAAAGGTACCTCATAATTTCCAGCTATTGATTTCTAATACACTCAGAGCCAATAAACCAAAAGAGATGGAAAGAACCTATTGGTTTGAGCGCTGTAATTAATTTCTAATTCGGAATATGTGTTTATTGCTAACTCATAAATAACAAGAATTTTAATAAAAATGGCTCGTACAGCCTTACGTTATCTACTCTTTTTCTTTATTTTCTTTGGCATCTATGATGAACTTATGTCAATTAAGAGCAGGTGAGAAGCATTAAGACTAAAATGCTCTTATATACGTCATAGAAATGCACACAATTAAGTATATCGTTTAATTTCAACACAGTTATTTTAAATTTGCTAATTAGATTTGGATAAACTAAGTATCGTTTGAGTGTTAATACATTATATATCGTTCTAAAATACATTAAGTAAGCAATCATTAATAATATTTCATTAGGTAAAAGTATTGGCACCTGCATAATGTTTTTGTAGGGACAAACAGTAAATAAACGCGATAATGAAAAAGCAAGCCCTCGATATAATATAATGGAATGAAATAGGGTTTATTGTCTTGCCAACACAGTCCTTGGATCATTCTGAGACAAATTTCCCACACAGTGGCGTCTTTCTCGCAAAATCATTCCAGCACCCCAAGGGCACAATATAATATACGAAACGATGGCTGCCTCAAGCAATCGAGAAGCACCCCAAAGGCACAATATAATATACGAAACGACGACTGCCTCCAGCAACCGAGAAGCGTAGTGTAGAAGTGTAAGGTTTCTTTTACGTGCACCCAATGTTTATTTTACCATCCGACCGACTGCGAAAACTTAACCGAAGATGCAGAAGCCCGCTCCCCCTCCCGACAAGTAGAGGCCGTGCTTTAATAATCCCGTAACTGCCCAGCCCACGCCAAGATTCGAACCTGGGACATTGTAGCCGAGAGTTCAGTCCCGGTGCGGCCGATATGAGAGAATCTATCTAGAAATCAATCATTTTCACATCCTTAGTGCCTGCCCCATTAGCACATCAACTAATTAACAAACACGTAAGAAATTGTGATATTTTAAAATAATGACAGATGTTCCGTTTCTTTACTGTTTCCTGTATTTGACATATTAAATTTTATGCTCTGGAGTAGGTATTAAACGAACAGGTTTTTCACACTTGAGGATGCATATCGTTTCATCAAGATTTTACAAGAAAAACTTTCACGTTTTTCTGTATTGCGTTCCTTAAAAGGATGTGGTTTGGTTGGTATAGTATTCTATAACCTTGTTCAACCCCAATTGTGGTAAATCGTCAAATATTTGAAGGAAAGGGGCGATTTACTCATTGTTCCCCCTCCCCGCCAATCGCCCAATGTCAATTGAGACGTACTTCTCCTTGCTAAGGGAAGATGATTGGGTTCGTCTTTCAGATAAGCTACGCTTTTCTCTGGTGGACATAAGGTTAAGCGGTTATTAGAAAAGATGGCGTTACGATACATTGCAAAAATCCAATATGGCTACCAGAATGAACGAGTTTGGAGGGTGTAAATGTATTACGGGTATTGCTACCAAAGAATTAGAAAAACGTTGCCAAATTACGTCCCCGTGACATCGTATTATCTTGTCAAACATTTTATGTATTTCTTGAATATCTATATACATGTCATCGCTTCCTCTTGGTGATGATGTCAAGACGTACCAGCGCATTAACACATTAAAAGACTCCTGCTTCCAATTTATTCAGACACTGTTTCGTCACCAAATGGAGATCTTGGAGTGGGTGTTCTCACTAGCCACATCGGGACTAGAGGCTGAGACTAGGCAGTGTTGGTCATTCGTAGGAAGACATGCTTCAAAGTCCGTAGAAAGACCATGTAGCATTTAGAAGTATTTCTTGGAACAATACAATGCTAAAGAGTTTTACCTATTTACAATGTAAAGAATGCAAAGATCACACAGAACGCGTCACAGTGATAGTTCTAGCCTTCCATCATAAGTTTTAAGTTTCAATGGCGGCCATATTGGATTTATGCTAATTGTTGGCTGTATGACGTTACAGGGACGTCATCTGTACCACTTTCCTGTCTACCCGTAATACATTTACACCCCCAAACTCAACCATTCCCGAGATATTGGAGTTTTACGGTGCCAATGGCAGCCATATTGGATTTATGCTAATTATTCGAAAACCTATCTTTTTTATTTTGGCCGATTTTTGTTTAGGAGACCTTCATGGACCCCTCTACCAGATTCCGTCAAGAAAAATTCTGTTGCAATTTGTTCTAGGTCATTTATTATATTTACCAGACTATAGTGTAGCTGTAGCTTTGGCTGTGGCGTAAAATGTCGCCATGGCCAAATTTTCTGAAAAATTCGATATATTCATCTTTGTTGGGAATACGAATTGAAAAGCGACCCAGGGCCACTTGTAATTAAATATACGATTCAGACCCATCTGTAAAATGCTCATGTGTTCGCTAATGGCACATCTGCGTTTTTGTTATCAGAGGACCAAACAGGATGAAATAAATGAATATACTGTTCACGTTTTACAGCCATTTCCAGTCGTGTAGCCATTTTCACTATACGTCACTGGATACATAGGTATATCCTGATAACAGTAGTTTTCACGCCAATGAAAATGAAGAAATAAATTACAAAAAAACAAACCTAAAACTCATAAATATTTAACTGTCAAAACTAAACACGTAGTTGGCTGTGATATTCTAAATTGAATAACATGAAATTACAAAACACACGAGCATCCTATGTTGTTCTCTCTAACATTGTACAATTAGCATTCTTGTGTCATTCTTAAATCATAGTAGGTATTTTTTTTTCACTTTTCTTATCTCGATGTCAATAATTGTAGACGTATTTGTATAAGATATTTAACATTGCGAACAACAATGTAACCATGATAAACAATCACGGAGGCATGATTCAAATTACCAAGCCTTTTTTTTTAAAAACGTCTGTACTCTTCAGCATAGACGTTATGTTAATGTATATGGGCTTATATTAACGCCTATTATAAACTTGTTAATTTTCTTAACGTTACCTTTACTACCTATAGATTTGTTAAGTATATTAACGTTACGTTAATATCTATAGACGTGTTAATTATATTAGCAAGCAGCACCAGTTCATTCATTTGGAGAAACTCATTTAGTTATACATTAATATCCCTCGGAACTGGATTTTCATAGACATGCATTCTTTCTCAATATACTGATGCTCCGAACAGTCCACTAATACGAGTCATTCATTCCAATTTCGAAGGTATATTTAGTGGCAAATGCAGGGAACCGCCTCATCACCACCACCACCACCAAGAAACAAGAAGCTAAATATACAGTATATTGTGTGTTTTACAACCACCATTTTTCCTAGTAATTAATTAAACTATGGAGAAACAACCCTTATAATTCTTTGCTAAACAAAATTAGACCGCCGCGGCAAATTCGAGCTAAACATTAAAACCTTGTTTTAAAATACCTCTACAAATATCAATCAGTTAAAAGACAAAATGTATGCACTCTAAAAGTATAACACCCATTTTCCTATCTTGTCAAAGCTGTCATAACTGCTTGTAATATCGTGTCATATGTTACATGTAGCTTAAAATGGCTTCGGCAAATAGGCTATAATATGGTATATATTTTTGTAACACGATAATTATTGTCTGTTTTGTCATCGCATAGTGTGCTATGTTGCTATTTTGGGATTCACGTCATGTAAATCCTCTACATCGTGAAGCAAAGATTTACAATAAAGATGCTATTTTTCTGTTAATACAATGCTCTGATATGAAAGAACCGTTAGAACGATGACAGGAATCACCATTATCTAAAAACGCCCTACCACATACCATGCATTATCTGTAACTAACAAGGCGAGTCAACGATCTTGTTCGGTGATGTCAATGGTACACGGGGTCGATTGATAAGGATAAGGCGTTCAGACATTACCGAATGCTGTATAATCGCTTAATCTCAGATTTAAACTTCTTTTAATCACTTAGCATGTTCGGGGAGCTGGCCGTAATGCATTTTAAATACATTATGCCGTTTGTTACACACGACATCGTTAGTAAGTGATAAACAAATTTATATAAGCCTGAACAAAATCCCTTGAGACAAACATTTAAATTCTAAATGTAGATGCATGCAGTATTTATTAACAACTAATCATACAAATGAACGAACTTCAACTCATATTTGATACCAGATCTGAATACAATAAATTCTAGCCCACCTAATTTCCTGTCTATCATTAAGAGAACACAAGTTTGTGTAGAATAAATCATTAAAGCTAACATAGATTGTATTTACTCGACGGTTAATCATATAAATTATATATTGATATTTTATATTAGACAAATGACGTTTGATGCTAGTGAACTACCATTAAACTGTGATTTTAATCTTGTATGTCGGCTTTATACAACGCATATACCTTAAGCAGTGGTTACGGACATTATCAATCATATCATTAGTCATTATTGCATTTACTATGGTGAAGTTTGGTTTTTGATCATGTATCTTCTTTTCGGTCGGTCCCAAACGCTTTTAGAGCTTTATACAGTTGTCTCCAGATTTCGACTCGTAACCGCTAATACCCCAGTTCATGCTCAAATAAACTAAATATTTTCCAAAAGCTTGATCGATACCCTTTTAAATGATGTGTAACAGTTAAATGTTTAATAGAAGTACAAAGTAAAATCACCAGCGGTTGTGTTATTTTGATTAGTTGAACATAGTAGACCAATGAAAAAAATCGCCCATCATCAAGGGTTTCTGAAAACTCAAAAGTAAATAACCATTCTAAAATGTTTCGGAGATAATATAAACAGGGAAGGGAGTTCCTTACCTGTAAAATGTCGGGTCTGTATCTTTTCTGCATTAAAAGCAAACTCAACTTATGCCCTCACATGCAATACAAATACAGATTGTATATAGGTGTGGGGCGGTAACATTAAAAAAATCTTTCCTTTCAAGTGATCACATACATATTAATTAATTGGATTTTTAAATAATATACAGCTCTTGATAAAAAGCTACTGACAATAATCTAATTTCTTAACATCAGTTGTAAAGAACTACTTATAATGGTTAACTAAAAGGTATATTTCAAACCACGTGGTGTGTACATTGACAGATGAAACTGATTATTTGTTTATTT